TATACTTGGGAATGTGGGTTTTGCTCAATGCTCAATAAATAAAGCTGCTATGGTGTTGTGGATGATGCTGTGGTAGTTCTGTAATCTATTTTGCATACATCATGAGTGATGCCCTGTCATAGCACCATCAGTTGGATGAGACATCAGTCGGACTTTAGCAACTGCAGCAGAATCTCAAATCTATTTATTTTGTTACAGAATAAACATTCCCCCAAAGCGGACATAGTTTGTTTAATAATGCTGCCTCAGGAAGGCTTTTCTGTTCGAATTAAATAATGCATCAGTCAATGAACTGACCTTCTTTCTAAAGATCGTTTCTTCTATAGCTCCCTTTTCAATTCTTTACCTTCACGTCATGAAGGCATCTCATTGAAAATTCCCTATAGAAGTTGTGAAGCATGGAGAAATTCTTCTTAACATCTTTTACCAAAACTAGTCTTGCTTCACTGGTCAGACACACACTTGTTGTTCAAAATTTTGAGACAAAAATCTAATTCTCAAAATGAATGAAGATTTGAATGAAAAATGAAGGTTTTCTGCCTCTTTCTGACTTGACTGAGAAATGTTATTTTCACTTTTCCCCTTTAGTTAGCCCGGCACTGTCCACAGTCAGGGAAGCCTTACTGTGAATAAAGAGAATAGAATAAGATTTTAAAAGCAAGACTTTAGAACCAATTTCTACGTTAAAATAAAGCAGGTTTAAGCTAGCAAGTGATGAATGCAAAAAATAAAGACATTTTGTCCATGTTTCTCCATAATTCCTAGCATATATTAACCTACTGTATAGTTTTTATGCTTCAAAATTACAGTATGTACCAACGCCATCAGCCCCAGACAATTACACGCTGATCCCAGACTGCAATTCTCTTGTTTAATGACCAGGATCAAATGACCATGTTCCTTTCTAAAGAAATGTCTCTTCCTTTTAATGAGGATGATCCCCTAAAGCTCCCATCAATCTTTTTATATAAATATCTTTTCCCATACCCATTCTTTAAAAAAGGGAGGCAAAGGGAAGCATTGTGGATGAAATAAATCTAGCTGGAAGATAAAGTGCTAAACCTCAAACGTCCTTGGCTTGTGCAGGGAACGCACAAAGCTCTTGCTCCTTTTCATTAACTTGTTTTCATTTTTGCTTCCTCTCTACTTCTTTTCTACACAAATGGTCCTGAAACTGTATGCCAGAAGTTTGATAGTTTTATCCCTCTATCCTTGGATCATATTGGTAATTTTAGTCTCTTTGGCCATGGCACTAAGTACATTTTCTTTCTAACAGTCTGCCAAACCAAGTCTTGGCTTGTTTTTTTTTCCTATTTTGTTTTTTCTTTAATCTTGTCTGAGATATTTCACTCAGAAGGACTTAAACAAAATAGGATTGGTAGAAATATCACATTTAATTAGTTTGATATATATAAAAATAGGATCTTTGCTCTAAACTCTGTGTACAGATTAAGGTTATGTTGAAGCCTTGCTCCATTTCCTATTCTAACGTTGTTTAATTTTACTTCCAGTTTCCAATTCTTTGAAATTTGAAAATCATCAGTAGTACAGCCACTGGTGGAAATACCCAGTGACTACACATGGAAACACTATTAGCTGATCAAAACGTCAACTGGAAAATATCTATTCCATGATTTAGTTTAAGGCTGACTGATTCAGTCCAGTGTGAAAAATCCAATGGGAATCAAGGATATGTATCATCAAGGACTTATCAATACTTCTATTTTTAACAATGCAACTTATTGATTTGGTATTTTATTGATGTCTATATCAATACTATTTTTTCCAAGCAGACAAAAGGGTAAAAACACAATAATGAGCAATGACTGTTTTTTTTTAAGCATCTGTAATAAAAGAAATAAAAATAAAAGTACAAATGAAAACAACAAAAGTGCAATATAAATACATGTTTAGTCAAAAGGCTACAAACTGTATAAAACTGTATAAAAAGTATGTCAATAAAAATAAAGAGTATGTCATGAGATTGTTGAAGAGATCGATAGTAGAATTGGCAAAACACAAAGGGATTAAAAACACGCTCAAAATATTTCTAAAAAAAAAAAATGATTTAAAGTTTTTTTTAATACTTTACCTAAACACAAACTGCATGTATAAATTTTGTTTAATTATTGAATTTAACAAATAGATAGCAGAGGAACTGACAGAGGTGACTGAATAACAGGGTTGGATCATTGAAATGCAAAAAAAAAAATGCTTTATATTTACATCCTGCTTTGTAATCTAGGGTGGAATGAGTGCAAGTTTTGCTCATGCAGCATGACTCAATTTGAATGGGGAAACATAGTGCATTGCCTCTTCCTTTCCCTGCATAAGTGAGGCTGACTGATTGCCACCTGTGCTTTTGGAGTGGGTGGAGCAAACAGCTGCACTCGCTGCTTGCTGAATACTGTAAACTCAGAGCGAAATCAGTCTGTGCTTTTACTTGTTACAAAAATCTCAAATAGAAAAAAAACTACACAAAAACAACATTGTTAAAGGGGTCTGAAAATTAGCGAAATAAATTGATAAAGTCGCTAAGGTGCTAACAGTGTTACTAAGAGTAAGCAACACAAACCTGAGTAGAACTTTAGTCCCTCCTGTCAGCCCCCTTGGTGTCTATGCTTCTTAAGGAGGAGGAGAGTTGCTAAATAATACTGTAAAAAAGTAGTCATAAACTTCAATCCATGAGGGCTGGCGTCCAACGACTTTTAGATATGTTGCCTGCCCTATACATGTTAATTAAATGTTGAAGTAGAGACCTATCTAAGGCTGCATTCACACTGCAGCCTGAAGTGACCCAAATCCAATCCCATATGCGACCTGGACCTGATCTTTTCATGACAGTCTGAACAACTCAGATCTGTTTTTTTCCAAACCGATCCAGGCCACTTGGCTATGTGATCCTTAATCTGATACGAATCAGATCTTTTCAAATGCGACCTGTGTCAGAACGGCCAGGTCGCATTCATCTGACCTGAACGCCATTAATAGCCTACCTGACAAAGGTCACTATTCTGGGTCTGCTATGAAGAAGTGACAAGAAAAACAACCAACAACAACAACCATGGCAGACGTTTTCATGGTTGGGTATGATCGCTAGACACGCTCCAGCACTACCATCCATGTTTACTTCCGTAAACCCAGAGCAGGCTGGCCTGTGATGTCATTGCGTCCTCTACTGCGCATGCAGGACACTTGCGTTGTATGAGTGCAGTGCACAGAAGAGATGAAATACAAGTTGCATATATTTGGAAATGTGAACAGCAAAGCAAA